AAAAGCATAAGCGAAATACAGTCCACATTCCGCATTAGTATCGGCATTTGTTTTCTGCGCGTTATAGTCGGCTCAGTAGTTTTTGGCCGGTGGAATTTTCAAGGGGAAGGCTAAGAGCGAGTCTCTTGTGCGGTAGTATAATGCCGACTGCACCGAGGAGCTTGTGAGACTGAAAGCACAAACAAAAGAAATACACTGACCGTGCTACCTCAGGTACACAGACTAGGCCCGTCCGCTAGCTTCTCCACCGGCCAAGTCTGATAAATGCTTTTCAACTGTTCGCACCTCCAAAGACTCTCAAACGATGGAATTACTAGCGCGCACGAGCGGTATTTCTGCCGCAGCGGTAAAACTACCGCGCACACGGACGGTGAAATAAAGGCATTGTCTGCGTTTTCTTTACGGTTGGGAGCTGCATTTTGTGGAGGCAGTTGGCGTGTGCTCTAGGTTCATAAGTCGAGGTATGGATTTTGTTGAGACTGTCGCTGTGTGCGTTTTAGGCTAAGAGAAAGGGCAAGGCGTAGGAATAAATTTTGGTTCCCTCCACTTGTAAGTCAAAGATTGTTGAAAGCCCAATTACACAGTTACCTGCGTACGTATTCAAAGAAATTATTCATATACTTTCTTTTTTTTTGTCAAGTTAGCACGAGTTCGGCAGTGGAGCTTCACAGACTTCTATACACACTTTCTCTTTAGTTTTTGTCACAATACTCCCGGTGGTCTAGCGGTTAGAACGCTGGCCTTGTAATCCTGAGGTCTCGGGTTCGATTCCCGGCGGTGCCCGAATTTATAACTTTTGTTGGGCAAGGCCGTGGTCTAGGCAACACGGAGTTTTCCTCCGTGGCATCCCAACAATTACTCCATTCACACACAGAAGAAGGCAATGGCAAACCACTTCTGGATCATCTGCCAAGAACGTATATGAACAGGTCCCAGTCCGAGAAAAGGATGGAAGGATCCTGTTCATATGGACCTGTCGTCAATTGAAAACAGTATCGAATCTTAAAAATTACTTTATTCGTGTTTTGAGCTTCGTATTAAAAACCAAATAATCTTTCCTTCTTATTTTTAGCTATTTGAATCACCCTGTATATGCTTACGTCAGTTTTAAATCTTTCACGGTTATGAAAATTTTATTTATATTTTACGTCCATTCTTGGAATGCATTGACCAACGACGCCAGTCACGTGTTCATGCCACGTGACGCAATCGAGTGCCTCAATCTCACGTGTGTACACCCGAGGGGTGGGGGTTCGATGTGACCAGTCCAAGCGCCTAGGAAACATGCCGGATGTTTATCGAAGGGAATTGATAGTCTTCAACTATTTAACATACGAATAATAAATGTAGATTATAATAATATTTTTATTAAGTGACGTTTGATGTAATGACTATGTCAGGATCTCAGATATATTAGAGAGGTTTTTAAAAAATTTCCAGACTCACGTTAATTATTTCTTATCGTCTCTCGGGTTGAAAGATTATTGAAACATAAATTGGCGATCAATTGATAAACCCTAAATTCGGAGATAAATGCATATTATTTTGATGTTTAAATTTCCTTAAGGTGATCTTGGTATTGAAAAATATTTATATGGTCGTATATTACAGTCAAAGTATGAAATCGGTAACCTATAAAATGCGTGAAGAATTTCAACATAACCAACAACTTATTACGCAACTTAAACTGTTGTTTCCAATTAAAATTCATCCAATCAGCTGTTAGGATTGTATTTATTTTGAAATTAAATAATAAAGAAAGATGAAGAAATGAAATTATAAAGCTCTGAGTGAAGTGGGATGTATTATGAAGCCACCTCTCGTTAAAAGAGTTATGTAAATACAAAAATCATTCGTTCTAGGCAGAAATTGAAAAGCCGTTGTTAAATTGATTGTGTAAACCACCTACAAGGAAAATAATTTTGTATAGAAATTATGACGAAATCATTAGAAAAACAAGTTGAAGCGACATCTATTTACAAATCAATAAATACAGGGTGTTGATATTTTTTTCTAAATTATTTGTTGTATGAGAAAAGATGAGCCACGGTGGTCTAGCGGTTAGAGCGCTGGCCTTGTAATCCTGGGGGTCTCGGGTTCGATTCCCGGCGGTGCCCGAATTTATAACTTGTGTTGGGCAAGGCCGTGGTCTAGGCAACACGGAGTTTTCCTCCGTGGTATCCCAACAATTACTCCATTCACACACAGAAGAAGGCAATGGCAAACCACTTCTGGATCATCTGCCAAGAACGTATATGAACAGGTCCCAGTCCGAGAAAAGGATGGAAGGATCCTGTTCATATGGACCTGTCGTCAGACAGAACACTAAATAAATACCTCAAATCCTACATGGATCCAGCTGTATTCTTTAATACAATTTCAATTTCTCTAAGGGATTAGAACTATACACCTGTCGTTCGAATGGCTAAGATCTGTCCACTGACGATAAACTTGAATACTGAAGTTGTTGGGAGAGTCGTCAAATTGGAAATACGACCTTAACCTCTGAATTAGACTGACAGACAGACGCCTAGAGACAGGCGAAGAGGCTGGCACCAGAGCGTCGATTTACTCCAACAGCAGTTCAGAAAGTGGAACACGTCCTCAGACACAAAATATTCTTCGCACGGGACGTAATCGATATTTATCGATATGTTCCAAGGAACCTCGTGACTTTATTGACACAATCAATGCAGTTCAGTTTCTGTGACATGTTAACCCAATATAATCTTAATTTCTGTCCTGTTTACATGTTAGAATATTCAATGTTTTTCTCACGAAAGTTTTTTTTTAATTAACTGAAATCTCTTTCAGTCAACCTAATTAAACGAAATTAATAGTAAAAACAATTTCATACATACCAACATAAACACAAGAACTGCTGGGCGGATTTGGATGAAATTTGGTATGGATGTTATGCGGTTGGGGACTACCCTAAAATATTAATTTTAAATTTTATAAAATTGGTAATAACAGGATTTCTAAAGAATAAACTTTAGAGGTAAGATCGACACTAGCTTATGGTTGTAAACGTTTTGGATGAAAAATACGAAATTTTTTTGTATTAATTCTTTGTATAATGCAATAAAGAAAACATTGTGGCTACATCAAAGAAGGAAAATATTTTAATTCGACCTGGATTCGATCCTACGACCTCATATATACGAGTCCAATACAGACCACAAATTTTTATAGATTGTAAATTAAAGTTCTCTAAGTAATTCAGAATTTGAAGAGAACGCGTGTGTTTTTCCGGTACGGATTTCACTTAACTGCTTTCGTATTCAACTTAAGAAACGAAGTTTTATAATTTGTTTGTAACTTATTTGTTACAAAGTCCATCGGAAAGTTATTTTTCTTTGTGAGAACCAAAGTAAACCCACTGGCTAGGTTACGAAAACAAGACAAACGCGGATATCCGCACAGCAACTGCGAGACAGGTATATCTAGTCACGTGGACTGATCACGTGACTTAACCTAAAAATTTTCCGCTTGTCAGAGCAATAATCTGTATGTCTGTGTCACATTTATCGTAGGCAAATTGATGGGGTGGGTGAACGGATGGACTGACATCAGTGTCCCTCTCGGTTCTGACGTAGTTAAGCTAATAGCCTAGATCGTTACGTCAGTATTAGAAAATAGTTACGTTCTGTTTTAAACACACTTCTTGTATTCACATGTCAGTGGTAAATTCAAGCACTTTGAGTACAAACTTCTCTCAACAGATGGCAGCAAAATACATGGCTGGGAATGCCAAAAAAGATTTGATTACAATTATAATTACTACATTTTAGTACCAGACTTACGCAGTTCTACAACCTAGAAGGCCTCAGATCTTACCTCGTGTCGTGTACTTTGATATTGGCCCTAGATATAATTACAGAATCGAAATGTAAATGTAAAATTGAACAGAGTTGTAAGGTTATGTAACTAGGTGAGAAAATAATTTTTTTTTGGAAAACATGCGCAATGGTATATGCGCAGTAGCACTTGGCGTAGCATTTGAAGTCAAAATTTAAGTTGCTTAGCTTTCAGATACTTTATTATTAAACAAATTATTGATAGATACGTATCATCACATTTTTTTATTTAATTTAAACTCTCAGAGGTCTTCTTTCCGTAACCCTATTAATCATGCAAACAAAAATGTTTACTCTCGAAAGAACGCTAATACCATACGCGTTTCGACTTCAAGACGTCATCATCAGTGACAAAAAATTAATTCATGTAATAACTAACTAACCAGATGGCTTACCGAACCCAAAGGTTCATCACCGAATTAACCAAAACCCTCCACCGGACCCTGTCCTGGACCAACAAAATTCAGTCTCCTTCAACTCCTATCTTCTTCTCGACTTAATCACCCTGACAATACTGGGGGAGCAGTACAGATTTTTAAGCTCGTCATTGTGCAGTTTTCTCCACGCCCCATCGTCTTCCCTCTTAGGCCCAAATATCCTCCTCAACACCCGATTCTCCAACACCTGCAATCTGTGTTCCTCCCTCTGAGTGAGAGACCATGTTTCGCACCCATACAAAACAACAGGCAAGATTATTGTTTTGTATACTTTAATTTTCAGGTTCCTAGAAATCAGACGGGAAGACAAAATATTTTTAACTGAGAAGTAGCAAGCATTTCCAGAATTTAAACTCCTCCTAACTTCCTCATGAATATAATTTTGATTTTTGATTTTTGTTCCCAAATATTTTAACTTTGTAACATTTTCAGATGCGTGTCTAAAAACGTAAGAAACATTGAAATTTATAAACCAAACCCGTAACAATATTAGCATAACAATTAAAATTGTTACGTTATACTTTTCGTTGACATTGTTGTACCTCATTAGTAAGTATTGTCGTCAAAAATCAGCCTTTCTTAGTCTTAATAGAACTGAACTGTGAATCGCTTGTAGAAGAAGTGCGTCGTTACACTCTCTGAGCTTTGTTATTAATTCGAATGTTTATTGGTGGTGAAATCTAGTTCCCCTCCCTTGAACGAAGAGATAGGTAAAGAATTTTTCTTGTTTTATTATTATTTATCAACGTATTTACTGAAGATATTGACGAGAAGGGCTCACTGTCACCTTTACACACGCCAGGGATACACCGGCCTAGACCTACTGACATGTCAGTAATAAGGCGGATTGTGCAAGAATTTTACTCAACACAGAAGAAACAAAAATTTGACTTTCCGTGGGGTGTCGATTCTCTACGGAATAATTTACATAACTTAGGATTTAAGTGTAAGAAATGTCTTAGTAAGCGAGAGATCTTGATTGAAAGGCCGGACATTGTAAAATGGCGATGGAGATATTTGGTGAATATTAAGACGCTTCGAGATGAAGGAAGACAAATATTTTACCTGGACGAAAGCTGGGTAGATAGCAATTTAACTTTTAAAAAATTCTATCAAAATACTGAATTTAAAGATGTGTGCTCTGATGGAAATTCTGGAAAAAGACTGATTATGGTTCACGCTGGATCGCGTGCTGGTTTCCTTCAAGGTGCAGGACTGATATATAAATCTGGATCAACAACTGGCGATTACCATGGTCAGATGAACAGTAAAAATTTTGAAAAATGGATTAGAGAGAAAATATTACAGAATTTGCCCTCAAGGTCAGTGGTAGTATATGATAACGCTCCATACCACAGTTTAAAAGTAGATAAATCCCCATCTAAACATTCGGTTAAATCTGAAATGATCTCGTGGTTACAGCGACACGGAGTTTTCTGTGGTCCAGCTATGAGAAAAGGCCAAATCTATGACCTAATACTGACGAAGAAACAAAAAGAGAAATTTTTCAAAATTGATCAGTTATTAAACGCCCATGGTCATATTGTGGTTAGGTTGCCTCCATATATGAGTGAGCTAAGTCCCATAGAATTAGCTTGGTCTAAGGTAAGAAAATACGTCCGCGAGAACAACGTGACAGGGGATCTGTCTTTGAAGCGGCTGCTGGATTTAACAACAGAAGGGATTGAAACTGTGACTGCAAAGGATTGGGAAGGATACTGCCAATATGTGGAAAAACTTGAACAGCAATACTGGGAAAGGGACGGGGTTGTTGCTGACGTGATCGATTCAAAAATTATTTCAAATCTAAATGACAGTGTCGATGACGAAGAGATTTCTCGTGAAGGAGCGACTGATTTTTCAGACTCCGAGACCCTTCGGCCACTGTGAGGTAATTTTAAAGCTATAATCATTAGAATTTATGAAAAATCCTGTCGTCTGTTGTTCGTTCAGTGGATGTGGAACGAATGCTTTTAGGATGGGTCGACACTCACCGCGAAATCTTGCGCATGCGCGTATATCGAATTCATACCAGCGCTTTTCTCGTGATCTGTGGACTGTACATGTGTTCGTTAATAATTATGAACACTTGCAAGAAATTGAAGCTAGTTTCTTTCTTGTATAGTGGGACAAACTTTACTTTACTTTACGACAAAAATTGATTGCAATTGAATAACATAGTAAACAATTAGAGATTTGAGTGTTTAAGATGACATGGCATATTTAGCAGCCGAGAATCTTGATGAAACAGTTAGAACCCTTAAGAGTCTTGCGGTAAGTATGTGTACCACCTGATTTAACGATTAATAACCCTTAATTGTGTATTTGTGGGTAAACAGCGATCATTTTCTTAAACGGGATTAACCGATTGATCTTTGTAATGGTGAAGTGTAGTGTTTTCTTCGCGGTACGGACTGAATTCTTAAATAATATTTAGACGATCTTCTGCTTGAGATACGGGGCACATATTGAGAAAATTAATCCGAAATCTTTAGGGTACCCACACACTTTACGACTTGTAAACATTCAGTAAACCTCGAGTCAAAAAATCAAGCGACTGTAGATTTATCGGAGACTTGGTTTCAGGCCAAATTCACCACACACACGCTCCGGTTTGCCGGAAGGTTGGCCTACAGAGACTTAAGGCTTCCGGTAAGTCGTAGCGTGTGTGGCTACCGTTACATTTCTTGATAGAACTATGTTAAAGCTTCTTTGCTAGTTGTGAATTTGTTTTATATGTGCAGTAGAATTGCCCCCAATAAAGTATAAAGCACTCCCATGTTTTTTACTGAAGAAACAATAATCGTTACGTCATAGTTTTGGCCGACATTGTTATATTTTATTGGTAAATATTTATATTGACGTCGACAATAGCCTTTTGTTACTGTGGAAACAAATGAGCTGGGAATTGCTTGTGGAAAAAGTGCGTCGTACAAAAGATACTTTTGTGCAATTGAAAACCTTTCCAAAAAATACACGTTTCATTCGAATTTTTAAGATGTTTAGTGATCATCGGTTATTCTTGAGATATAATCTGTGGATGCATTGTAAAAAATATATACGACTATGGCCACCAGATGACAGCACATCAATCGCCAGCAATATTCTTATTTATTCCTTATATATATTTAATCCTTTCTTAAAGTTATTAATATCTCTCTACAGGTCTCTGATATTTCTGACGTAAATACGTCTACACGGAAGGATCATTCGGCAAATCAGCGTTAGTTACGAAGATGTGTAAGGTCCAGCGCCGAGTCACCTTTAAACTTTCATTCCTCATTAATTGTAAGAGTAAGGGTAATGTAAAATGATCAGTAAATAAAGACCTTTAAGAATCTGTAATGTATTTTGTTGTAATTATAATTGTTTATACATTTATTGTAATTTTAATGAACTAATGTGTACAATTTTTCAATGCATCTGGCGCGTTAAGAGATGGATCTGGACATATTGCGTACGAAATACGTATTACATCTTGAGCTTTGCATATCTGTTTTCAGATTTTACGTATCTCAAATTGTTTAGGGTCTACAAACAATTTATTTATACAAACAAAGGCGCATCGCACTTCAAGCTACAAGCTTCGATCTTTTAATTTGGATCATTCTTCATCAAACCACGGTTTATTTTGCTTTCTCCTGTAGTATCCTAGTTTCTCTTTTGCTGAAATTTTGATGCAGTTTCTGACATTTTCCCACTCCCTGTTGATGTCCACACTTTCATTATCCTCATTTGTCTCTAAAATTTGAAACCTATTCGAAATTTCAACTTGATATTGTTACTTTGCCTCTCCCTCACTTAATTTTTTCAAATCAAATCTTTCTGTGTCAAAATTTGTTTTAATTTGTCTACTTACTGAAAGCCGCTCCCTCACTTTTGCTACCACCAGATAATGATCAGTGTCGCAATCTGCTCCTCTGAATGATCTCACATCAATTACATTTGTCTGCCTTCTATTATCTACTAAAACATGATCTATTTGATTGTGTGTTCTGCCATCTGGGGAAGTCCAAGTGTATTTATGAACATCACGGTGTGGAAATTTTGTACTTTTTACAATTAAATCTTTTGACGTAGCAAAGGTCACTGCTCTGACGCCATTATCATTACTAAGTGCATGGAGACTCTCGCTGCCTATTGTGGGTTTGAAGACATCCTCCCTCCCAATTTTTGCATTGAAATCTCCTAGCAGAATTTTCATGTGATACTTGCCAAATGTATCAAATACTGATTCCAATTCTTCATAAAAGCTATCCTTGATATCATCGCTTTTGTCTTCAGTTGGGGCATGAACATTAAGGACAATGATGTCGCACCAACGTCCTTCCAAAATTACGTAAGACAACCTGTCACTAACAAATTCTACTCTCTTAACTGCTGCCCTAATTCTGCTATGAACAAAAAAACCCGTCCCTAGCTGATGATTGTCATTCCCCTTTCCATAGAAAAATGTAAAATTGTCCACTGGGATCGTCCCCTCCCCCTCCCATCGCACTTCC